GGAAAAGCGCTGTGCAGCCTTTGAAGGCTCTTTGAAGCTCTCGGCAGCAGTTTTGCAGCGCAGTTGCCAACTTTCAAACGCTGCGAAGTATCTGCAGTAACGCTACAATTCAGCTGCGCTCGATCTGATAGCACAATGTTCTTGAGATAACATGAATCGCCAGAAAAGCCTTGCCACAGATTACGGCTTTTATAACGAGAAAACTTTGACTGTACCTTTAAGAAATGTGAGTAAGCTTGTGCGCAAGGAAGATCGCTTATTGAATAAAACCCCAAATTCTATGCTTTTGATAAATTTCATTCCGTGACCGGCGAGTGTGGGAATGTTATCGCTAATTCCCTGGAGACATTCTAGGCCGTAATCTAATTGGTCGGCCTTTTGCATGAGATCCCATTACATCTCTAGACAAACACGGGATCTCCCAAACATTTGCGACCTTTGAATGAAAGGCGCAAACATTCTAAGTTTTTTTGCATCTAGTTCTGTTTCGAGATGGAAGTTCTGTTGAAGTTTTTGGACTGAACAGCTCAAACGTATTTGCAAACAACGCACTGAACAGTGACTTCTACGCTAAGTATCGACGAATCGAACCAGAGCAAGCAACACAGATACAAGAATCTCAGATACGCTCGTGGTAATGTTCGTTCCTTAGTCCATTGTAAAATTTAACGACGACCAAAGTAAAATTGGGTTGATTTCTTTCATGAAAAAAGTGTAGAAGATCGTGGATTATAGAAAAAACGTCAAGGTGAGCAAAACCAGCTTAGCCCGTTGCAAAGAATCAAAATATCATTTGGCTGCTGTCCGTGTAAACTTTATGTAGAACAATCGCTGTTATTCTCTTTATTTTTACAAAAGATAATTTTCCATGTCTGCATGTTCATGGATGTTCTTACATTCAGATGAGTGACTGTGATTGCTAAATATTTACAAAGCGAGACTGTTGCAGATTGGTTCTATGTTATGTGCTTTTGTAACGTGTACGCGTGGATACTAATAAAGTATAAGTTGCATTTTGACTTTTGACTAGTGGTTTTTGCTCTGCTACCAAGGCCTTGTCAACTCCTCTACCATGTATCATGATTATTGTATTATTGGAGCCTGCATTTCATTTTTTTGTACTAACGAGTGGTAGGGCATTACCAGTAACAATATTCTTTGTCCTTTTCGAAGCCACTTTGCAGCCACTTTGCAGCGCAGATTGTGATTCGGGAATTTTCTGCACCGCTGCAAAAGCGCTGTTTATCGCTGTCAAAGGGCTTTCCACTGCAGCCAAAATTTGCGGCTGCTGCAGCCCAGCGCTTTTACAGCTCTTTTGTAGCGCTTCTTGAAGCCATTCTGCAGCGCTGCACGTTTCGTACGGGTATGCATCAATCTATCCACAAAAAGGCAAACCTTACTCAGAATGAAATATGTGCTGTGCTCTGTTCGAAAAGACAATAGAAACAACATGATGGAGAAAAAATAGCTATGTGAAATTTGTACATAACCGGTTTATTAAACTCTGAAAATCCAATATAAATACAAACTGAAACGTTTATTAAATATGTATTGCCGGCGAAGTGAGGGCAATCAACCACCTGAAAAATACAAACCATAGAAAAAGGAGGAGGCAGGAATGGAAGGAGGAGGGCTGATGAAAAAGTTTTTGTGTCAACGAGATTAAGAATGCAACATCCATTATACGACGATCAATAAATGTGACATTACCTCAAGACACCATCTTCAATTCAAAATTCAAGTCAGTACCCTCGATTCCATGTTTCTAGCCTCTTTCCACATTACTGTACTCATAAACAACGTAAGGCTAAATTGTCGCATAAAAATTTATTTGAAGACAAATAATGCATTTATGCTTCAATCTACCCACAAAAAGGCAAACCTTAGAATGAAATATGTGCTGTGCTCTGTTCGAAAAGGTAATACAAACAACATGATGGAGAAAAAATTGCTATGTGAAATTTGTACATAACCGGTTTATTAAACTCTTAAAATCCAATATGAATACAAACTGAAACTTTAATTAAATATGTATTGTTGGCGAAGGTGAGGGCAATCAACCACCAAAGACCTTGCAAGGCAAGGCACGTCCCACCCAAGCACGAATTTCATTCTGGGTAAAGGTATTACATAATACTTAATATTACAAGAGTGCATCCTGCGTAATCTGTTCAGATCAAATTAATAGTGTTCTTGGGTAGATTTACATCCACCCAAGTGCCTAATCTTGTTGTCGGAAACCCCTTGTTCATCCGCATAAGCAGCAGCACCAATCATAAAGCTGTGTCCTTTATATCTATTGGGATCCATGTTGCATAGCCGAATAACTGAGCCAAGCGTTTTACTAAACTCACTTCTTAAAACTGGGGACCCATCGTGATTAATAAAAAGTGGGCCACGTACTAAGCCACGAACAGAAACAATCCAAGAATGACTGAACAGGACATGCTTAAGGTTGTGTATTCAAAACTATAGAAAAAGGATTTTGATTGTAATTATCTTTATAGCTTGTGAATGTAATTATCAAGGAAAGCACATTGCCATTACCACTATATGTGTTTTAAAACTTGCTCCGGTTGTAAAAGGTTACCATTGACACTGTCTCGCTTTGACACTGTGATTTCACCAATACAAAGAAATGCAAAAAATGCCATAGCACACATGGCCTTAAACATAAATAATTTATGTTGAGAAACACAAAAAATATCTAAACCTTTCATGATGCGAACTAAAATGGGAAAGGTGATAGACAACCTTGAGTCCAGTTTGTAACCAATCTTACCATACCCTTTCAGCATCTCAGTAATGTAAAAAGTTTTGGCAGGATCCCATAGACCGGCTAAGCGATGGAAATACCCAAGGGCAGAAACATAAGTATTTACTGTGAAGGAAGCATATCTACGATTAAATAAATGTGCAACAAACGATGCCAATGTGGCAGGCAACACTGGTAAAAAAATGTGTGAGCTCTGTAAAACACTTATTTGAAATTCTTCATAAAGCTTCCGTGCCCTACGGTACATTGGTACTGAGGACTTCTGTAAACTAGCAGATAAAAGGTCATGAACATTAGATGCCAGTTTGCTGGGAGTAGATGGGATGGGATTGCTGTTGGCATGGGATCCATGTAAACTGGTGCTAGTTTCTTGAAACGTTGGACCTCCAGACGAGACAGTGCATCTGCAAGAGTGTTCTTGAAACCCGAAATATGCTTGGCTTTAAACAAAATATTGTGCTTCAAACAAACTAGCACAAGTTTACGAGCAAAAATCATTAAAGAAGTATCCCTACAGGTAGACTTATATTTATCACATGTACTAATGCCTCATTATCAGTAAAGAATGTAATACACCTGTCTCTAATATGGTCACCCTACAACATTAAACTCAGAACAATTGGATAAAATTTCAGAATTGCAATATTTTGACCCAAACATTCACACAGCTCCAAAACCGTGTGGCCCTGCTGCATCAGTAAATAACTGAAGGCTCACACTATTTTCCCATTTCTCATTAAGGAAAAATGATTTACCAATGTATTCTTGAAAAAACTGTTGCCAAGTAATCAATCAGCCTTCACCTCCTTGGAAACACGAACAAAATGACTTGGTCTTTCTAGGCCAATTGTCAAGTCAATAAGCCATCGTAAAAAGCAACGGCCTGGAACAACCACTGAACAAGCAAAATTTAGTACACCAGTAAGCGACTGCAACTCACAAAAAACTTACATTTCAATAGTTTATCTTCAGGTAAGCGTGATTCACAGCGGATAGTGCCTAGTTCCACACCTGCAAATGTTAAAATTGTAGATGGACCAAATGTGTTTTCAGGTTCCATGTGAATGCTTAAAAAATCACATAATTCTAAGAAGAGTCCAAGACTTCTTGAACACTGACTTTCTGTTGTCTGAATGAGGAGAAAATCATCTAGCAAGTGAATAAGGTTAGCTATAGCGAGCTTATATATCCTGTGCAATCCACTCAACAACTGTACTAAAAGTTTCAAAGGTTTTACATGAGCTGGAGCACCCCTTAGGCATGCATTTATCATAATAATAGTGAGCACTCTACTTTATCCCTAAAAGATGGTAATCTTGAGGATTAATAAGTAAAATCCTGAAAGCACTTTTAACATTCGGTTTTAGCCAAATAAGAACCGACACCTGACTGCTTTATCTTTGTAATAACATGGTCATGTTCATGGGATATTCCATCATTTACTGATTTACTCATGGGATATGAAAGATGATGGATCAGACGAAATTCGCTTGGGGTTTTCTTTTGAGCAATACCCATGGGTGACACTGAAAACAGGAAAGGATGGTGTATCAAAAGGTCCAGCCAACCTATGGGTTTCCAGCACCTTAGCTAATTTTTGATCAACTAGTTGGGGCTGTTGTCGTGCGGATAACAAATTAGGAGATTCATAAGATCTACTTTGACCAACAGAAAAGCGATGAAATCCATACTTAAAGCCATCAATTAAAAACATTCGCTTTTGAAAGTTGTACCCTTCTAGCAGAACCCAAGTCGGTTTACCTTTTTTGGCGTTGGGAGGGGTAGGATTGGCAGCAACAGGTTTTCCATTGAAGTTACGAAAATTATGGCAATTTATCATTTGATGGGTCTTTTGACATAATGGGCATGTATGCTTAACATTACATCCAACACATTTTAAGCCTTTATGATACTTCAAGCAATAACCTTTGGGAACTCGAAAGCCTGACTTTGATTCACCCTCAAATCTCTTTATCTGTGAATAATTATTTCTGGATGGCTGCGATCTAATCGACAACTCCCAATGCACTGTACCCCAATAATATGCTTTGGGGTCTTTTTGTCGGAGGTATAAAAAGTTCTAATCATAATATCGCCAGTTATATCCTCTTGCTGCCAAATCCCTAATAATTTCACTATACTTCATTAAAAAGGGGGCTTCAGTAGGATATCTCTGTGTGTAGACACCCACAAAGAATTGGTAGGCTGTGACCCACATTTCAATTTAATTGATATGTTTTGACTTTTGCTTTGGCTCCAGTGTGATGCGTGGTTGGTCATTTGATGATGTCATGTCATTTGAAAGGCATAGATTGAAACTATCATGGTCTTTCTTATTATTTAAGAGCAATCCAAAATCGACATATTCATGGGCCCATATTTTTCTTTTTAGCCTATGAAAAACTGACATGTCAATGGGAATGTCTGACGACACAAAAATATCTTTTGGGTTAGTTATTAAACTGGTGCTTCCTGACAAGCTATCCAACACAGTCACGATCGATCCCAGTACAGTTGGGGCTGCTGAGCTAGCCTGATCTGAACTATTTAAAATTTCAGAAACATTAACCTGAGAATCCCTTAACTCATGTATGACTGGTTCAGCGACAACTGACCCCTGTACAGTTGAGACTGTTCGAGGCAATGAAACATTTCCAGTACCTACATTAGTATTGAATCGTGTATTTTGTAATTTTTGTAAAACTGCATTTGTCACTCTCTCAATCAAGTTATCAACGCCAGCATACGGAGGACCTGCTGGGCCTGGGACCTGATCTGCTTGTTCGTCATTCTCCTCCACCCGTCTATGGCGACTAGCTGGCTGTTGCTCAGACTCTTGCAAGATAGTAGTTTTTCTCTTCACTTTAGCTGATACCCGGCGAGACATCCTGAAACGTAAAATAACTCAACACCAGTATACATGTAAGCTAGAAACATATAGCAAGCTTTTCCATTGCTAACAAGGGCATTATGCCCATAAAGAACCAACCCAGATTATATAAATTTCAGCAAATGCCCAATGACACAAGTAAATTGAATGCCCATAGGCTTGATATGAATAACAAAACAACATCCAACAACAACGTTGATCAAGGAGTTTAATTATCAAATTTGCTCCGTCTAAATGTCTGAAGAAGATCTCAACATGATCAAGAACAACAACTTCGAGATAAACATGGCATAACCGCTGATTTCACATATATCCAAAAATATATAACATGCCTGTTTTTATAGTACCATAAAGAAAACCTTCCAACAACCTCTGGTTGGAAAACCTATATAATACCAAACCTCTAGCTTGGTCAAAAAACCATGCACTGCATGGTACAAACCCAAAATTAAACAGTGTAACAGGACATCACAACATGAACTTATACATGAACTATGGCAGGGATAGCTTGGCAGACTACACATGTCGCCAGAACATATAAAATGTCTGTCCCTATAAATGCCATAAAAACATTCCAACAACCTCTGGTTGGTTGGACAAAAGCAAAAAGACCAGACTTGTAGCTTGGTCAAAAAACCATGCACTGCATTGTACAAACTCAAACGTACATAATAAACACGACTTCACAACATGAACATGTACATGAACTATGCCAGGGATGGCTTGGCAGACTGCTGTGTAGTTTTATCTTTTGATGAAATAAAGACATTAGTAGTAGTAGTAGTAGTAGTGGTAGTAGTATTATTATTATTATTACACATGTCGCCGAAACATATAAAAATGCCTGTCCCTATAATGCAACAAAAACCTTCCGACAACCCCTGGTTGGACAAAAACAGAAAGACCAAAACCATAGGTTGGTGACAAATCCATGTCGAAGCATGGCAGAAAAACATAATTAAACAAGGACATTCCAACAACCTCTGGTTGGACAGAAGCGAAAAGACCAACAATATAGAGTGGTAAGAAATCCATGCACAGCATGGCACAAACACATAATTAAATGACAAAACAGGACGTGATATGCTTCACAAGAGCAACTTTGGTTTTCTTTCCTTTATTAAGCTAAAACAATATAACAAGTTACTTTCTTAAAGGAAGGTTCCCATCATTTATAAAGCGTACATCTCAGATTTGAACACCCTTCATTAACCTGTGATAGATTTACTTTTAGCTTTCTCTTTTACCAGCTGGCTTTTGTTTGTAAAATGTAAACCTGTTCAAAAAAAGCTGTGAAATTAATAGAGATCGATCCAAAGATCAAAAGAGTTTTTTGTTTTAATGTTTGGTTTGCTCTTAACATATGTTGACATCACATTTACAGAAGACTTAAGATGAATCAAGTCATGTGTTGAAGTGTATTAAATAACAGGCAAGGGCTGATTTATCAGAAGTGAAATAAAAAAATGAAGTGATGATGATAATCAGTACTAACCACTTGCGATAGATCAGCTGTCGTAACACGGTCAAACCCTTGTATACAAACACCTTATTTTTACGGTCATTTTGCTGCGTAGTTACTAAAACAAGGAATGACCTACAATGACCTACAATGAGCTACTATGACCGAACGTGTAATCCCTGTAATGAGCTAAAATGAAGATTTTAGAAAAAGACAAAAAAAAAGTCAGGGGACATGTGTGCGTAAACGTAATGCGTTTAGTCTACTGCATGACAGCCCATTTAACGATGACAGCATCTCTAATTATTGCGCTTGGAGATAAATTTACAGTGTAATAATACATGTATGGTGATACTGTAACTTTTGTCCAAACCATCCCTACCAACCTTTCACATTAGTTTTATTTTGTCGTGTCTTTTTTTCAAACAAATTGAACAAACACAGTCACCCCAAGAGTCGATTCCGGGGGGATCTTCAAGGGACGTAAGGGTAGAGATGAACAATGGAGGCCTTCAAATTCTGACCCTGTTTAAAAGAAAAATTGTTCATATTTTTAAGTACCCTGGCCTGTATAAGACATCATAAGACCCTTTAAATGGATTTCGGTCCAACAGGATGCTCTGTTTGTAACGCTAAATAGTAATATCCATATCCTGCTCAGAGGCCCATACTAAGGGAGTGCCTGCATGACTTGTGTCAATACAGGGTGTGATAGTGCTATACTGGTAAAAACGCGATTGCAATAATCTATTTTCAACTTTCTCAAGTTACCTGAGATCAGGCACAATTTTTGTTTTGCCTTTTCAAAATGTGCTTGGCAATTTAATACTATAAGTCTAGTGTCACGTCCAAGCGTGACACACGACAAACATCGCTGTCTGTCATTTTGTAGCTCATTGTAGGGCTTATTTTAACTTATTTTAGCTTGTAGTAACTCATTGTAGCTCGTAGTAGCTCATCGTAGCTCATTGTAGATCATTGTAGGTCATTATAGGTCATTGTAGATTATTCCTTGTTTTAGTAACTACGACACACGTCCCCTGATCTTCTTTTTTTGTCTTTTTCTAAAATCTTCATGTTAGCTTACAGGGATTACACGTTCGGTCATAGTAGCTCATTGTAGGTCATTGTAGATCATTGTAGGTCATTGTAGGTCATTCCTTGTTTTAGTAACTATGCATTTTGCTGACCGAAGGGAAGCAAAATTGGCTAACGTTATTTTTCTCTAAATTCAACCTTTCTAATACAACACCCTGACACTTTCTACTGGCCCCTCAGTGTATACATTAAAAGGGTTTGAATGTTATAGTCACTAATGCTTTGACTAAACTTCCTCTTTGTGATTATTTTAAGTTTGGTTTAAGGTGGTTGGTGTTCGCTTCTATACACTTCATTCTAAGTTTAAGAGAAGTTCCTTAAATGTATACAAGAGCAATTTACACCAGTGAAATAGAACACAAACACACAAAAATGAAGAAATTCCAGAAATGACTGAACTGGGTGAAGTATACTCGCGTCCGGTAGTTCATGCAAGACAAACTTTTATTGCAAGCCTCCAAAAACCATGCTATTTTGCAAGCAGGACATCCGAAATAAGCTTACACAAAGTGTCATCCTAAAATGTAACTTATGTAACAAAACAACTGTAAAATTATATAACGAACAAATGTACGTCATTGGGTGTTTTTGTGTAGAAGTTGTTGTACAAACTCATGTAGGCAAAAAGAAACATATATATACCCCTTCCATGAAGCTCCTTCAGAGGACTGTACTCTTGTGAACCTTTCATACTGATAATCCATATCATCATCATCATCATCATCATCATTATCATTATCAACGACATCTTTCAACCATTTTATTTCTAACCTCTTGTTGTTCTGAACTTTAAGTTGTTTGTTTCTTTTGGGCATTAGCCAGATCTAACAATAAAAAGGGAGGAATTAATACAAACATTATTGTACACCAAACAAGAATTTATCAGTGTGTTTCATTCTCCTGCCTCCTCATGGTGGGGATGACGATGAGGAGGATGATGATGATGATTGCGATGGCGATGAAATAATGTTGTTGATGATGATAATCATGATGGCTGCTGGCAGCACTGCTGATGGTGATGTTCATGTCAGACAGAGCTGTTCTGAGATATTTGACAATTGACAGTTTATAAGTTGGGCTCTTACACTAAACTTTCAATTGCTTGTCTTGACAATATGTACTGATAATCACATGATTTCGAGTGCAATTTAGAATAGATAAGCAGGAGTAAATTTTTTCAAAGGCTAACAAACTTGCAGAAGTGCTTATTTATTCAGAATTGCACAAGAAAAATCATGTGATTACTTAAATAATATTCATGAAAAAATTGCAAGATAGAGAGTCAACATGCGTAAACTACGTGCAAAAATAATTTGTTCAAATGCTACAAATATCATCACACCTGCAGTCAAAACAACATTTTTCTCAATGTTTTTAAAATTTGCAAGCTGCAGAAATGGGCTGAACAGTTCATGGAATTGTTCAATCTGTTTGAATTAAAGATTCTGGGTTCCAGGGAATTTCTTCTTCCTCCTCTGATACTTGCAGAGCTTTGCTTGGGCGCTTACCATGCGCGGCCAGCCAAGTGGAGCTGTTTCTCTTTGTACTCCAACACCTCTTTGGGCGAACTAAATGTGACCCTCCACGGGATTTCAGGGAATGAGGTGAACACACGCACACGGCACGCTCGCACGCCAAAAGAAAAGAACTAGCTTTGAACACACTAGCTGCGTGTTAGTTACCTGCCTCATTAACATCGCAGCCATTGTCTTCCTTCGCACGGTAGAGACAAAGGAACGTGTTAAGATCTTGCCTGCATTTTTGCACGGTATAACACGGTGACCGTGTCAAATTTTTAGCACGCTCTTTGAAGTTAAAGTTTCTTTCGATTTGTACAAGCAGGACTTCATAAGCTGTAAGGCTTTCTCTTAGCTCACCAATATGATTCTAGTTGTCAATATCCAGTGCAACATCGGTCAATGAATTGCCGAATAGAATGGGGTCTCGACTTGTTGTCCGTTCATTTAATCCTGCTTTTGGATTCTTCCTTTATTTTCGAATTTCTCGTTTTCTTAAAGAAGCTTGCTAAACACAGGCCGAACGAGCAATGTCCTCTGCTCTTGAAATCGTAAACTTGTGAAGCACAAATGCATATATAATTGACAAACGTAAGCTTTAGTGTTAGAGCGAACTTGTATGATGCAAAGCGAATGACTTTATCTCCGTTGATAAGTGAGGGATTTTCCAGCTAGGAACTGTTCAGCCAAACGGACTATCAATTTCAGCTTTTTTTTTGCGAATCATATAATTATATGCGCACTTCTGTTAAAACGTGCACACGCTTCCATTTGACGTCTTATCGGAGTATTTTAACAGTTGTCTCGCACCATGAAGAAGGGTTATACACCTGAAACGTCTGAAATTACAACCATTTATGAGACTTTTGACATTTATTTCACAATAATTATCATTCTGCTTGCAAACTGTTTTCTCACCGTGTTTGTCTGTTTTGCCAGAGTCTCCGAGGCATTATTTAATTTACATTGTTAAACTCACTCAAGGGTAAATCTGTGTGGTACAGTGGTAATGCGTGCGTTTAACAAAATCGGTTGGGGTTCGACTCCTGCTCACTACGAATTCTTCTGCTTTTCTTTTCTTTTTTTTTCTTCTTTCTGACTAGACTGCAAAACAGTCAGTTTTTTCTCAAAATCAGTAAAGAAATCGGTAAAGCGTGGCGTAAGAGCTAGTCTTGCGCGCGCGAGCCTCACACGCCCGTAGGGTGTGTGAGGTGTATTATTAGCTTCCCCCAGTCTCGCTCTCTGTTTCCAGCCTCGTTCCAGACCTTTTGTTTGACTGCTTGTGTGTACTTGAATACGCAAAAGTACGGACTGTTTTGCAGTCTACTTTCTGACGGAGTTTACAAAATAATTAATTATTTATTATTGTTTTTTAAATAACTGACAGACTTTTTGCTAAACTTTCAAACTTTAAGCGTTGTAAATTCCATTGACTTTCGTCACCTAACCTCATCAAAATAATGGACCGGTTAATTAAACAGAGTTTAGACGGTGTTTAACAAAACCGTGTTCTAAGCCATTTTAAATTTCTCTAATCTGTTCCTTGTAAACATTCTTTGCTGTTAATAGCAACAAGAAGACTTGCAGCCCAGATAAGAGAGACATTTATACTATACTCAAAATAAACACCTTACAAGCTAATGGCTTGAGGCCCACTGAGTCCCTTTAAACAGCGATCTAAGTTAAACTTTGTGTAAATAACTGGCCCAATGTTTTTTTTAGGCAGAATATTGATTGGCATGAAGGCCGCGCCGAGTGTTTATTTGAATTTCAAGATAGATCATGTACTGCCTCTGTATAACCGCACTATTACATTTAAAAGATAGAGTGAAGTGTGAAGTCATAATGCAAAATTGACTTTATTTAAGTTACATGTAAACTGCCTGACTGTTCTTGGTTTGAATTACTAATAAATGTGGTTATTTTAGAGGAAAAATCTGATGAAACCTATGTACATATCAAGAACGAAAATAAGAAAATACAATGTGGTAAATTGCGCCTTTTCAAGAAAGGGGTTGTTACAGGAAACAGCCGAAGCAATCTCAAAAATATCTATTCTAATTTACAATGCGCAAAAGACAGACTAATAGTGCCATCTCAGTGTTTTCAAAATAAACTAGTTTTCTTAAGTTTATGAATAAGAGTCCTTCTCTTTCCTCTACACTTGGTATTAATGCGCACAGCTATCTGATTCCATTGCTCACTAAAACATGGCAAGTCAAACTTTCTTCGTAAAACAGACACAAGGAAGCCTAACTTCGTACTGTCCAACTGCTGGAAACCTTTAGTTCTTGATGTGTTGCACCTCGCCATCTCGTCTTCCGTGAATAGCACATCAACACAAGCAAGGGTGGTAGTAGACATGTCAGTTCCAGTTGCTACAATTGCAGTTACTTTGGTTCGCTGTTCATCCGTAGGACCGTGGCTGCTTGACACTAATGGAGTAACGTTCTGATCAACAGGCTGCAGGGGTGGTCTTGATGGAGCCATTTGGGGTGGAAACACGGCGACAGGTTTTCTCTGTGGATTTGACGGAACGTACTCAGGACGGGACACTGAGGTTCACTGAGCTCTGTTGTTTCCTGAGAAGTCTGGACAGTGGGGCTGCTACAGAAACCCACCAGAGATGCGAGTGCTTCTGAATACAATGTTGGAAACTCTGGATCCTCATCAAATAACAGTGAAGCAGCAGGCTTTGGCTCATGCTGATGGAGACACTTAAGTGCTGTCAACTCCTTAACTACTTCTGTGAGGTTCAATATCTGCTGTCGGAGCTCGGTCGTCACGTCGTAGTGGTCGGTCTGTATTGATGCATCAGCTGTAGAGGGTGGACTCGTACTCATGTGACAGTGAACGCTCAACTCGCTTGTCTCTACGCGTTGGTCTCCGGTTCTCTTTCTCTTCAGCTTGGCTTGTTTTTGGTTCTGTTCCTTGAGAAATTCAGCCAACAACTGAGCCTGCAATTAACACTACTATCAGTGATACATCTTTAGCACTTATAACATGCCTACAACTAGCCCTCGACATGAAATTCGCATTTTTAACTTTAGATAAACCAGATATGTTAGAACTCTGTACAATCTAGGCATTTTAGAACGTTTTTCACAAAACACACATTTGGAATAGCCAGCTATGTTTTAACTCTGCACATTGTAGACATTTTGAGACGAACCTTTAACCAAACTCGCAACACGTCAGTAATTAAAGGTTTCCAGCAGTTGGACAGTGCAAACTTAGGCTTCCTTGTGTCCGTTTTACAAAGAAAGTTTTACTCGTCATGTTTTAGTGTGCAATGGAATCAGATAGAAGAAAAACTCTAGTCTTTAGAATTCTCTTTCCTACCGTGAATTACTTCTAAAATATGAAGTAGCCATAATATTTTCTATCCGCTATTGTCAATACCTGCACCTTTCTCGAAATTTAGGTTGCCGTGAACAAAATTAGCTAAAACGTTAGCAAACAGGATGCAGACGAAACGAAACGATGGCAATTTAAAAGACTATTTTTCTCACCTCATCTTTCTCATCAGCTTCCGTTCTTTTCGTTTTGGGTAAGCTAGGAGTGTCTTCAAGTGAACGTTTTCACTTGCTCTGTGGCTTCAAGGGAGAGTATTCGTCAAAAAGGTGAGCGTTTGCAGGATCGTCCACGAACAGTTTCTCTTGGTGATTGAGATAGGACATGTCATCTGGAAAGAAATCAAACGAAAAATTAGAGTCAGTCACATCCACTGACAGCATAAATTTTAATAACAGATCGGAAGGAACTTACCATGGGTTGCAATAACCATTGCTTCCAGTAATCTGCCACTGTTTCAGATGGTGACAGTTGAAGAAATCGACGGCGCATGGTCAGTAAAACATTTTCTTGTTTTCTTGTCTTTTAACTTTTTGGTATCCACAATACAGGTGCTTTTATCAGAGCTGAAATAAACCAGACACAGCTTGGGAACTTTCGTAAGATTTCGGAGAGCCATGATCAGATCGCGTAATTGGATAATCAAGTAACAACGTTAGTAAGTACCACTTCTTAAATAGGTGCAGATATTGTTACCGGGCAATAACAAAATAAACTTTAAAGAATGGATTTGTTTATGGGCGGAGGGAAAAAATCTCACCTTCCCTGTAACAATAGTCTGTAATTAAGACTTCGACGTGCGGACAACTTTTGTTCACTACTTGCGAAAAACACCGGAAACAACAAAAAAGAAAATTAGACATTCTGAATCCCAAGGTTTTAGCGTAAAAGGAAAAAAATACAATATGCTACAAGAAGGATCGAGGAAAAGGTATTGCAATTTTTTTTACTCCGAATCACTCAAATAAATAACAAAGTTAACTCTGCCGCGCATCATTTATTAAGGAAAAATACTTGTTATACGCTATTCTCTTCAATTTACTTTTTCCCATGATAATTAAGTTGATCTAAATGCCGTGCTTTTATTTCAGAAAAGAAAAAGTCAGTACATTGCCCGCGCGATCGAGGATACACTTCATTTGACTTTGTCTCGGGATAATAAGTTGTTCCAAATGCCGCGCTTTTATATCAGGAACAAAAAACTCACACGCTGCCAGCGCGATCGAGAAGGATTCACTTCAGTTCACTTTTTCACAGGAAAATTAGGTTTTCTAAATGTTGTCTGTTATTATAAAAAGTAAAAAGCCACACGCTGTACGCGCGATAGAGAAGAATTCACGTCAGTCCACTTTTTCCCCAGGATAATAAAGTTGTTCTAAATGCCACGCTTTCATTTTGAAAAGTAAGAATTCACACAGGGCGTGATCCATTCAACCGAAATTTCCGACCGGGAGCAGTGGTCCACCTAAAATAGGTGGACCAGTTTTTTTAAAACCTTTCCAGTCGGACCGAACCGATCCATTGAGTTTTTGACCGAAATATCCTGAAATTTTGGTCGAATGGATCGCGCACACGGTGCACCCATGATCCAGTAGGATTCATTTTCTCTGATGTAATTAAGTTGTTCTAAATGCCGCGCGTTAATTTTAAAAAGTAAAGAGTCACACGCTGTACGCATGATCGTGAAGGATTCACCTCAGTTCGCTTTTTTCCCTGCATAATAAAGGTGTTCTAAATTCCGCGCTTTTATTTTAAAAAGTAAAAAATCACACGGTGCGCCCGCAATCAAGAAGGATTAATTTTGTCCGATGTAATTTAGTTGTTCTAAATGCCGCGCGTTAATTTTAAAAAGTAAACAGCCACACGCTGTACGTGCGATCGTAAAGGATTCACTTCTGGTCGCCTTGCGTTTCTCTTAAAAGGAACAATAAAAGTCACACGCTGCACGCATGATCGAGAAAAAGAGATTGTGAGAGTTCACCCTAATTTATTGTCTTCCCTAATAATAAAGTTGCCGCTGCCGCGCGTCTCTCTATTTACCAATGGAAAAAAAACTTGCTATGTGCTGTTGCCTGATCAAGAAAAAATAATATTGCAACTGCTTACTTCAATTTCCTTTGTCCCATTCAATTAAGTTGTTCTAACTACCACGCTTTTAATTTACAAAGAAAAAAGTCTCTCAAAAAGGACTATTAAACTACCTCTGTTCAAAAACTTAGCATACATATGATTTAAAATTTATAATAAAAAAAACGTGTTCGTTTGTAACTGTGAGTCTTAGTTCAATGGACTTCAATGGTCTTCTGTTCCTGGATAACAAAACTCACGAATTTCTTTGAACAGGTATTCGGCCCTTTCATGGCTGATGCCTTTAGGTGTAATAACAGGAGGTAAAAGGCCCGCTTGCGGCATGTTCCTGTCAGTTTTAATAATGTTAATAGCTGTTTCCTCAGAAGAAAAATATTGTTTGCAAAACACTGTTCCTGGGAAGGCTTTATCAAATCGGAAGTGATGATAAGTTTTCAGATCCGGAATCTTCTTGAAAAATGTATCAAGGTAACTCATCCAATCGTACGTTGGGATCAGTACTGTGCCATTGTGCAATCCAGCCAACTCGGCTGTGTTCACTGTCGCGGAATCTTCGACTTCCCTTGCTATATCAAATAGTGATGAAATAAACGTTTTCCTCGTTCTTTGCTTGACAAGTCCGAAGCTCCAATCTGGTGCGAATTTCGTATGTCCTGCAATTAAAAAGTTGTACTCGATTGTGTGGTGAAGCCTGGTCATCACTCTCCAAAGGTAATACCACTTGAAGGCGTTGTTTTTATTTTGCGCCCCGCAGTTATCGGCGTGAATTTGCGCAAATGTTTCCCCAAGTCCATGCTGCTCAAAAAAGTAGTGGTCCTACGATATCGTGCTGTTTGCGCCTTTTCCCGTAAGTACACCTTCATCGATTAAAAAGTTAACTTGCCTTGGTATAGCCTCACAACACACTCCAAACAAACCGCATTTACGTGGGGTCTTGAAATACATTGGCCCGGGCTGATAAGGGTCGGCAGGGTAGTGAAGCTGTTGGGCGTAATCATACGGGTAATGGACTGTTCCTTCATGAGTGCAGGGTGCTCGTTTCTCGGAAAATTCAACGCTTCTTAAGTATTCGGTGAGGGTATCTTTCGTTGTTTTGCAGCAGTTTTTGTAGAAGTCCCTCTCCCTTGCAGCGAGCCTCAAATGGTTTTCTTGCTGCCTTACAACTTCTGCCTTTTGAACATCCGGTAAATTCGCTGATTTTAAAATTTGGTTGTTGTTCTTCTGGCATGTTCAGCAGAGATCAGACGCTGGTCTCATTATAACAATGAAAGGGCAAAGTTGGGTCCACAAATCACAGAACTTTGAATAGCCAACAGATTCGTGTCCCACAGCAGCGCACGCACCTTGGTAGCTTTTCCAAAGACGAGATTTTGTCATGGAGCTTGGCAGCAGTTTCATGTCAATTCCTTTTGAAGCCAGGAACACGTCCTGGAAGTAAAAGGGCTTGGTCTTCGGCGACGTTCATGATGAACTTTACTACCCGTTCAATAGTGGCAGCACTGAAAGCGGAGCTTGGTAGACGTTTCTTTTTGCCGTGAGTACGAAGCGATACTCTGTTAAGCCGATAATGTTTAACGAGACTGTAGAATCTGTTCTTGTGGAGACGATGCATGAAAAGAAAAGTTTTCGGGCAGATTCGGTGGCTGTGGAAATAGAAAGGCACCCTGGTTCGCTGCCTCGTTTTCTCTGTTCTTCCTGACTAGCTAAACTGGTCACAGTTAATGGCACTGTGGATCATTCCTAAAATTACTAGATCTAGTTCAGCCGAGGAAAGTTCCGCACAGTTGTTTCGGCAATCGACGATATCCTCAACTTGAATAGTAGAGCTGTATGGGCTTCCTTTATATCCATGTGCACATCCACATGTTTTGGTTACAAATGCCTGCACTTTTGATCCCTCAGATGAATCACACTCCGAAAAGTCTAAGTCAACATCGGAGTCAATTTCCTCATCACTTTCATCGCTGCTGTAGAAGTCAGAACCGTAGTTGTCCTCTAGATCATCTTGCTCGTCTACTGGTCTGGCGCTAAAACAATCTTCTGCCAGGGATTCTAAATTTCTTTCGCCGGTAAGAAAGTATGAGAAATCATTACTTTGTGATTCCACTTTGAAACTTGATAATCGACAACTGCGAATAGTTGTGTGTTCCTTTGCGCGTGTAAACGTTTTGTAGTGTAAATGGGGTAACTATGGAAACCAAAAGCAAGTGAATGCACGCACAGGGTCCAGCGGAGTTTTAAACTTAAAATTTGTTCAGTTTGCGAACCTTCCACATATTTTAATTCTAATTATCCTCACGTTACAGTTGCGTTACGAAACGTATATACCGCAGCACTAAAGACTAAGAGCTCGTAAGATGCCAAGATCGCCGTACAGTAATTCGCGGACTCGTTCGGAAAGTTTCGTTTTGCACCGACTAACTTGCACTCATTCATTTTCGAAGCGCCGATTTGCATAGAGTGACGAGCGGTGACTAAGTCGATCAGGAGGCATGAAGCCGGAAATCTGTTCCTAAAGGATCCACAAAGATCCGATACTGGGCTTATTACATGTAATTGCGTGAAACGATAAGGATGTATATTTTACAAGGTAAGAAGTTTTGAAAAACAATAATTCATGTGTGCAAACTGAGCTCCTCTGAACCTAGTTGTGAAACACGTCGTGCTCACTGAATTACTTGCGAAAATCCTGAGACAAAGAGCGGTAAATTGCCATGAATGTTTGCTTTTTTCAATTGAAACTTTCGAATAGGACAGTAGATTTTCTTTATTTTCGCTTATATACTGCATGAGTAATATACTTTACAAGCACCATTCTCACAAATAAGAAGCTGACGAACACAACTAACAAAGTTAGATGGGTTGTACAAGATAAGCTAGCGTGTTAAGAATTCTACCGTGTTAAGGAAACAAAGGAACTTAGCATGTTACAACAACAAAAAATCTAGCGTGTTACAAAAACAAAGCTCTACCGTGTTAACCAGATATGAACAATGGCTACGAACATGCTCTCCAGAATCAATTGTTTTTATGCACATATCCGCACGGTAAGCATGTCATGCCATTAGCGTGCGAGCGTGTTATAACGTGCTGTGTGCGTGCGTTCACCTTATTCCGTGAAATCCCGTGGAGGGTCACAAATTCTCAGTCACGTACAATGGACAGGGTGCAGCCTTTGTTCTTTGAGTGTCTATCAATCAGTGCCATCATTTCTTGAAGGCTTTCTGGTTCATAAGCTTCACCTTTTTCATTCTTTACTTTGGTGTAGAAATGCTCGAGCAAAGTGTTAAGGTCAGTGGGCTCATAATTTGCTATTTCATCAGTAATTTTCTTCTCTATGCACCAATTCTTCCGAAAAGAGGGCCAAAAACCAGTGCTTTTTGCAGTGTTTCCGTTTTAAAGCAGTTTTTCAGCTCCTTTAGAGTTTCAGTCGCAAAAGCAAATGTGCTAGAAACGCAAACCATTGCGTTTTTTGCTCGAAACTGGTCCAAAGCGGATCCAAATTTTGCGCCATTTAGATGGCTCATTTGATTAGCTCTCAGCGAGTTCCTTTGTTTATAAACCAATCAGAATGTCATGATTGTTACTCTTGTCTGCACTAAATTACCTTTTTTTCTGCACCATGTTACCTAAAAACTGCATTTCTCTTAGCCATTCACAATCAAGAGATTTTTTCATGTATATTATTAGTCCGCAAATGATTGCTTGTAATGATTTTCATATATGATTTGTATTCTCGTAAAACAATATTAAAAAATCCCTTTATGATTATGGTGGCTTAATTTTTTGTGACCTTCCCTTTTTTCTTGTCATTTTTTTCAAAACCCTCCCTTTTGAAAGGCTCAAGAATCTGTGACCCTCCCCTGATTTCCACCTCCCCTCCCCCCTGCTAATTTATGACAAGTCCCTTACCAGTAGCATTTGTTAAATTTTGATTGGTTGAGTAATGTAAATAAAAGCAGGTGTTAAATGCAACGTTTTTAGTCTAGATAAGGAGGTTGCTTTAGAAAAAATAAAATTGATATTCAAAAAATAATCCAAGCATATAATATAAAAGCACGAGCTCGGTCGAGTTAAATAACTTGTCAAAAAAGGATAAAAAAAATACGTAAAAAGAGTTTAATGAGTATAAACAGCGACAAGAAAAACAAAAACTGATTGATGAAATTACGGGAATAGAAAAACAAAGGAAAAACATTTCAAAAGCAAAATCTACTCCCAAACCAAAGCAAAAAAATAAGAACATTTGATTATTATTCACAGACATACCAACTTACCTCAAAAAACCTCTTGAAAGAGCAATGAGAGAATGTGAAGTTGGAATCAAACGTGAAAAGTCAGCTCTTGATAATTTTGCTGAAAAATATATAATTGATGAAAAACTAGAATTTATTCCAATTGATTACTTTGGGGAAACAATTAAAGGAATTTTTTAGAAATCACAGAAATATTAAAATTAAAATAATAATGGTTTGTTTAATGGAGCAGCAAACTATTGGAGGAACGATTACAATTATAAAACAAGGTAAAGCTTATTTTCAATCTCAAACTTAAATCAATCTTGAAGCAACAAATATTAAGAAAATGCTGTTTGGAATGATTTATGAGATTCTTGAAGGAATTATAAATTATCGAAAGAAATGGTTCTGGTTGGTATTTTAAAGTGGTTTTATCATTGGAAATTCACACAGGAGACTACGAACCTTTAAAAGGCTTGTCTTATATCCCTCTTATAATGAGAAAAAAGGCAATTCTTAATATAGAAAACAAAGATAATCATAACTGTTTTATGTGATCGATACTAAGATTTCTTCGTCCAATTAACCTTAACAGCACAAGGATAAATGATCTCAAGCAATATGAGAATGACCTTAAGTTTAAAGGTATTGATTTTCCAGTAAAAGTCAAAGATATAACAAAGTCTGAAAAACAAAATTCAAATATTCCAAAAGTAAATGTATTGTCAATGAACAAAATAAAGTCTACCCATTAAGAAAAAATGAAACAGATTGCCAGAACACTATTGTATGTATGTATGTAAATGTATGTAAATCTTTATTTAAACACGGGAAATCATCAGTTAAGCTTAAGTTAAAAACTAAAACTAATTACAACTGCTTTACATGATTGCCGTGTGGGAATCCGATATATCAGCTACCTTCTTGATATTTCGCTTAAAATGCTCAACGGATGCAGCGTTTTTTAAGTTTTTGGGCAAGTTATTCCATAACATGGCCCCGCTGTAAGAGAAGCTTCGTTTCAAATAATTGGTGTTTGGTTTGGACAGGGTCAGCCTTCCCTCAGAGTTTCTTAAGTTGTAAGCAGAGTGACGCTGAGAGAAAAGACTTTGTAGATATTTTGGAGCAAGGTCATGTATGGTTTTATACATCATTAAGGCTTTTTGTTTCTTTCGTCGAAGAGATAGCCTCTCCCAGCTGAGGGTGGAGAGAAGGTGGTTTGAGCTCGCATCAAAGGGTGATTTAGTAATAACTCTGGCTGCACGATTCTGTAATTTTTGGAGCTTATCACTCAAGTAACCACTCAAACAGTCCCAGACGGGGCTGCAGTAATCAAAATGAGGCATAATTAAAGCGTTATAAATTTGAATTGCAGTTTCTTTGGATATAAAGGGCCGCACACGTTTTAGGGCGCCTATAGCTGAAGAGACTTTCTTGCAAATCTCTTCAACGTGTTTACCCCAAGAGAGTTGAGCATCTATGGTAAGACCCAAGGATTTGGTATGATCGACTCTCTTGATAATTTGGTCATCAATTTTGATTTCTACATCGTCACATTGGGCAGATAGTCTTTGTCTTGATCCAATAATCATTAGCTCTGTTTTAGCAACATTTAGACTGAGCTTGTTAGCTTTCAGCCAACAGCTAAGGTTATTTAATTCAGGGGTTAGAGCTAGCTTAAGCTCTGTTAACGTCTTAGCAGATAACGTAAGGTTGGTGTCATCGGCAAACATTCTTGGTACGGCGCCCCGCAGGGAGTTGGGAAGATCATTAATGTAAATTAAAAATAGCAAAGGACCCAATATGCTACCCTGCGGCACGCCGCAACTGAGGGTACGAGCAGATGATAGTTTGCCACTGACATTACATCTTTGGGTTCGGCCACTTAAGTACGACGAGAACCATTTTATAGCTGCCTGATCGACACCCAAGTATGACATCTTACGCAAGATGATCTCATGATCAATGGTGTCGAATGCCTTAGTAAGGTCAATAAAGACAACGCCATTTAGAAGGCCATTGTCGATGTTTACTGACCAAGCATTTGTTGCCTCAAGCAAAGCCGTGAGCGTACTATGTAGAGAACGGAACCCTGATTGGCAACCTAGTAGCAATTTATTATCATCTAGATAATGGAAAAGTTGATTATAAATAATTCTTTCAAAAACTTTCGAAATTATAGGGATTACAGATATCGGCCTGTAGTTGTTAGGGTCCGATTTAATGCCCTTTTTAAAAAGTGGAGTCACTTTGGCTGTTTTCCAATCGTTTGGATATATCCCAGTGAGAATAGACTTTGAGAATATTGAGGTAAAACGTTAGAAACAATATCAACACTCGGAATTTGCAGAGAAGACGAATGATCAGTGGGCTTTAAACAAGACTCAGGATTAACATCGACAACAGGAATATCTTGTGCTAATACTCAATACACTATTGATTTATTTTTGTTTGAAAAAGATGGAAAGTCTCACTATGGACTTTTCAAAAATTTTTCAAGATTAGTAAGTTCTCATGTGAGTAAAGATACCAATCCAAAAAAATACTTTTACAAGAAATATCTCACATTTTGTAAAAGAGGAATTATTTGAAAAACAAGTTACATATTGTTGTGTTAATGAAACAGTAGCTGTCAAAATGCCACCAAAAACCTGATCACTTTTTTTCAATAATCATTACAAGAAACTTTCAATTCCTTTTGTAGTATATGCAGATTTTAAATGTTTGACAAAACCAATTGATAATTGCGAACCAGATTCAAACTATTCTTTTGCTATGGAGTATCAAAAACATGAACCTTCAGGATTTTGTTTGTACCTTAAAGGATTGGATGGAATAAAAACTTATTTGAATTTGCAAGAGTACAATCCACTATCCAATGACACCCTGGTCTTATGCAAGGACGACGAGCTTATTTCAGTGACAACTGACTTTGTTGCAGCTCGCCTAAGCAATATCAGTATGTCTCGAACAGGGGGGCCTGACGACCTGCCAAACTGGGTGCTGAAAAAGTTCTCTGACATACCAGCTCCAGCTTTAACTGAGGTGTTAAATCAGTCATTTCAAGAATCTAAAGTCCCACGTACATGGAAGCTAGCGGATGTTCCACCTGTTCCCAACAGCTTCTATTGAAGACTTAAACAAGGACATGAGACCCATATCCCTAACATTTACGATTGTCCAAAGTTGCGGAGGGGTTTGTTATCAACTGAGAACTCAAACCCTTGATGTTCGAGTGTATAGACCGAAACCAGTTTGGTTTTATACCAGATTCCTGCACTACGTTCGCACTCATCTCCATGCTACATCACTGGTTCGAAGCCACTGACAGGACTGGCGCCCATGTTGGGGCAGCACTCCTGGACTAGAAGAAAGCCTTTGATCTTGTTGACCACAACTTGCTGATCGCCAAGCTCTATAGTCTAGGAGTAAAACCCACCATTGTCAACTGGGTGGCGGACTTTTTACGAGACAGATATCAAAGTGTCAAACTTAATTCTGATTGTTTCTCAGATTTTAAACCAGTCCCGGCTGGAATTCCACAGGGAACCTGGATTGGCCCATGGCTCTTTTCGGTTATGATCAATGACCTTAGTAACACCCTCTCTTCCATACGGAAATTCGCAGAAGACAACACGGTCTCTGAAATTCTTCCTAAGTTTGGTGCATCAATGCTCCAAAATACAATACATGATGTCCTTCGTTGGTCTAACGACAATAGATTCAAAGTGAACTCACTTAAGTGCAAGGAACTCAGAATAGACTTTCAAAGGGAAAGTAACTTGGACACTGATTCTCTCAAGGCTAATGGTATTGCTTTTGAAATTTTGAAATCAGCTAAAATATTAGGCCTCACTGTAAGGAATGACCTTAAATGGAACGATCACCTTGATAATGTTACTGCGAAAGCATCTTGACAAATGTATTTGCAAAGCAACTTAACCACGCTGGCATAGACCGTGTTGTAAGGTATTCCCTAAGACACCAGAGCACTTAGACACAACGTTTTTTTATCTTATAAGCTGTATACATCAACAAGTGACGAAAAAAAACATGCGAGATCCCGGATTAAGATAAACTGTATAAATTAACTTGACATGCATA